AAAAAAGTTCATACCATATAATACTCTGTAGTTTAGATTGAAATGATAAAAAAAAATATTTGCATATTCAATGCTCCCCTTTACAATTCAACTGATAATCATTGTCTTAAGATTTACAATTACCTACTGCATTTGAACAAGGACAGAAACAGGGAAAACTTTGCTTTAATTACGGTCATTCATATGACGATTTTCAGCTGAGAAAGTGCAATACGTTATCATAAAAATTAGTAAAAATAGAAGACATTAATAACTGCTAGCAGAAACTACTGATCTCCCTTGTCTCCTTACAGTTTTACTACTTTAGAAATTATCTTTCCTTTATTTTCATATTCATGAAAGCTCACCTGTAGTAACATAAATGTTTCAAATCAATTGATTCTGCATACATTTTTTTGTAAAAAGAATAAATAAATACATAAATGAATAAAATGAAGTTAAGAATGTACATATGCATGCACTCAAATATGTACCAAAGTAAGCCTAGCTATTAAACTGACACAAACTAAAACCGAGAGAGAAACTTACTTGCATAACTTCTGAATTATTTTTTGCCACTGGCCAATCTATATTCACAGCCGGTTCTGATTTAATTTTGTAGGTCACAATGACACCATTCCGTTCCTCAGGACGGGGTGGATTCCATGCTAAATAGATCCATTCCTGACCTTTGTCTATTACTCTCACATTCCTCGGTGGTCCACTGGGCTCTGGATAAAGAAAGTGATATTGGTTATTTCACAAGAGGAGGCAAAACATATTTTTGGTCAAGCAGAGACTAGTTAACAATATGTATTTCATATTCAGGAAGCATGATTCCTGATACCAATAACAATATCAAAAGATATAACAAAATAATTAATCAATACTTTGGTTTTCAAAGAGAATACTCACTGTCCTGGCTTGTCTCCAATATCAAACTTTTGCTCCACCTGCTCATACCAAGTTCTGACTGACTAGCGATACTAAAGATATATCTCGTATATGGGAGCAATGAGGTCACGTTGATTTTATAGGCACTGGCATCTGACACAGCTATGTAGTGCATGTCTGAAAAGATTAATAGTATTCTTCTTTTAAGAAATATTCCCATCTTATAGTTCTATTATACAAGAACCTTTTTGTATGTAGTAATAAGATACAAATACAAATACCACGTATGTAGTAATAAGATACAAATACTTTATAATACACTAAAGTATACAGAATTATAGATAGATAGATGAATATTATCCACATATAAATATCATAACATTCTAATGATAGAGATGAGACCAATTTCTTGTTGTAATAGTATAACTTTAACAAATTCTCAAGAGTGGATACAGAACAGTTCATCATCCATACAAACACACCTTGTGATACCATAAGATCAAAACTTACCAGAATCTTTCCGGCAATCGGTCTCATTTCTTGGAGTAATACAGTATGAAATATTAAAACCAGTAGGATCTGCAGATCTATCTTTACATCCAAGATTCCATTCTAGTTCTGCTTCTGTTGAAGACCTGAAAAAAAAACAATAATAATAATAACTACTTAGCTACAACAATATAGATTCTGTATCTCCTTTCCTTAAAAAAGTCTGTTTTTGTATATACAGAAAAGGTTATACTCAAGACATACCCTTCATAACAGACAAGAGAGCATTTTAGTATGGCAGAAATTTAAGTACAATAATTACTCATATTCAGATACACACAATTTTATACCTACAATCAAATCTATACCTATACAAAAAATTCAAATTCTATCAACACATGGAAATTTCTCAAACTTACACTTCAGTTATACCAAACGTATCAATCGGAGGTAGCTTGTTGCCGTGGCTAGCAATGCAGGTAATCCATTTTATGCCGCTGGAGGATTTATTGGAGTTGGCTGATATGCCAAATATGTACAGGGTTTCCTTCTCTAGATCCGTGATATTCTTCATTGTTAGTCTTGGGTTTACACTGACCCAATCAAGTTTATCCTGTCAAAAAATATAATAAAATATATCAAATATTCATAGTATAGTAAATCTAGTTTGTGTATATATTTTTTCTATTAATATAAAAAATGACCTATTAACAATTGTAAAATATAACAATATATCAATAAATCTAAATTTCTTTTTGTCGTTATTAACCAAAATCAGAAATAGGTATATAAAGCTTCGCAATATTATGAAATGCTGATGTATTTCAAGACCTGAAGGAAAGCCAATAAAAAAATATAAATTACACACCAAACATCTCTCTTCATACTGTCTCCTCTTGCACCAATAAATAGACACAGACTCAATCTTTTGGCTTTCGATTTTCTCTTCTGTGATGTTCCACTTGATCCCATAGATGGTGTTATTTCCATCCTTGTAGACAATGACTTGAAAACGACTTGGGAATGTAAGCACCTCACTCTTCTCAGGTACAATGACTGTCGCCTTTGTCTCGTCACCCCCTGGACCTACTCGATTCACTGGTGTGATATCAAATCTGAAAGAAATTAAAAACATTAG